GCGTGTCCGGAGTGGGGGGGACTCAGCTCTCACAAAGGGTACATTCCTCCAGGCATGGGCAGCACGTGTGCTAGCCACACAGCCCCGCCCCTTTTGCCCAAGGCCTCACCCCTACCTGAACGCCCCTTCCCACCCCTCCCCCCGCCCCAGCCAGAGGACCCCAGCCAAACCTCTTTCATCACATTCCCCAGTGCCCTGGGTCACACCAAGGAAGGATGGCGGGAGACAGCTCCAGGATTGGGCCACTGGACCGCCCCAGCGCCAGCCCCAGCGCTGGCCCCAAGTGCCAGGCCTCCCCCAGCACCAGCCTGCTGGTCTCCAACCAGCAATGGAGCTGAGCTCCCGCCAGCTTGGGCACCAGCATGGCCGAGGCCAAGGTTTGGCTTAGGGTTATACCTGTTATACCCGCCGCCCATGCCGCCAGGTGATCAACGACCAACCATATCCTTCCAGTCCAGTTCAACATTAGCAACTGGTCTTCATGGAGACCCCCTGGAACATGAAGAGGGGACGTTGGAGGGGATCCTCGGAACTTAGCCCCTGGGTTCTCTGTGAAGCCCCTTGGACGTTCAGGTTCAGCCACCTGCCATCATTCCCAGGGTAATACAGGGTGCTCATTCTCTCTCCATGTACTTGGCCTCCAATGGAGAGGGCCCGCTGGGGGGGGGTTTCTGGGACCACGAAAGGTCAGCCTCTGGGACCCACCGGCTTGTTCCACCCAGGCCACCAAATGACAGCAATGTTCATAAGAACATAAGGACCATGTCCAACCAATGGTCCATCCAGCCCAGTGTCCTGTCCTCTGACAGTGGCCAATGCCAGGTGCTTCAGAGAGAATGAACAGAACAGGGCCATTATCTAGTGAGCCATCCCCTGTCATCCCGTCCCAGCATCTGGCAGTCAGAGGCCTAGGGACACCCAGAGCATGGGGTTGCACCCTGACCATCTGGGCTAATAGCCAGTGACGGACCTATCCTACGTGAACTTATTGAATTATTTACTGAACCCAGTTACAGTTTTGCCCTTCATAACACCCCCGGCAGCGAGCTCCACGGGCTGGCTGTGCGCTGTGTGCAGAAGTCCTTCCTTGTGTTTGTTTTAGGCTTGGTCTACACTACCCCCCTAATTTGAACTAAGGTACGCAACTTCAGCTACGTGAATAACGTAGCTGAAGTTCGAAGTACCTTAGTTCGAATTAGTTCGAACTTACCTTGGTCCACACTCGGCAGGCAGGCTCCCCCGTCGACTCCGCGGTACTCCTCTCGCCGAGCTGGAGTACCGCAGTCGACAGCAAGCACTTCCGGGTTCGACTTATCGCGTCCAGACTAGACGCGATAAGTCGAACCCAGAAGTTCGATTTCCAGCCGTCGAACTAGCGGGTAAGTGTAGCCAAGGCCTTACAAAGAGGGGAGGAAAGGGAGGAAGAACAAGAGAGCTGTGCTCCCCCATCCCATTCCATCTGCCCCCCACATTTGCTTCTCGCTGCAAGATCCCTCAGCTCCAAGACTCAGCAGGCTGCAGACTAAAGGGCCTGATCCTGGTTACTCAGCCCCTTGTGCAGCCATGTGCACCCGTGGTCCACTCACCCCACATCAGAACAGGAGCATTGTAAACCCACTTGGCACTGAGCGACCACACATGATGCCGGGCAGAGGAGAATCTGCCCCCCCCGCCCCCACACGCAGGAGAAGATTCCTCCAGGGCAAGGCTGGGCAAGCCCCAGAAATGGGACATGAAACCTGGAGGGGCCAGTCCTGCCCTGGATGGACTGGTTGGGTCGTTAATGTCTGGGACTGTGGGTGGGTGGCCTTGGGGACCTCTCCAGCTGACTCAAGGGGCAGTGTCCATGGGATCTGCACAGAGCCCTTATCTACTCTCAGCTGGGAAGAGCGTCTTGAGCCTTAGAGACTCGGGCTGAGGAGAAATTGCAGACGAGGACATTCCTAGGACTCAGACCATCCCCTGATGAGCAAGCGGGGAAGAGATCTTGAAATGGCAGATGCAAAAAAAAAAAGAGATGCTGCCCCTTTAAAAGTCAGAGCCAGGCAATGAGTAACCATGGAGACAGCTTTGACTCTTGACAGTGAGGACTGCAGGCTCTTTGTTGGGACTGGTAGCAATTAACCGCAATTACTGCTGCAAAACTCCTGGTTCCCTTTGACACTGGGAAATGAGAATGAGCGTTTCCTCAGGGGGAGAGGGCCGAGAGCTCTTCTCTTTATGCCACTTGCACACTCAGGAGAGGCTCTCCCACCTTGGCAGATGTTGCTGGTGAAGTTAAGGGGAGTCTGAACTTTCTTCAGGTTTCATCGCTACAGAACCAGGAGCAAAACTAGTTGAAGAGACAGGCCAGATTCATTCCAGGGACGTGGCCGATTAGATTAGATCAGAGTAGATAAAATGCCATTTCACCTCCTGCTGAAATGCAGCTGCCTCTGGGCTACAGCACTCCACCTGTTATAACCCCTCACAATAGTTCAGGGCAGGCAGGAAGTGAAAAAGAATATTGTATGCAACTGAAAACTTCCAAGGGAGTTTCAGGGATGCAGAGTGGAATTGTCCACTCTGGAATCTGGCCAGGATGCCACAGCTAATCCCCCACCTCGGATGAAAAATGCTGGGGGTGGGGTAAGTAATTGCAGGTGCATCAGGATCTCACCCGTGTCTCTCCCAAAATGTGACGTCACTCCCGGAAGAATGACAATGAAATGGTCAGTGTTTGATAGCACCTGGTGCGCCAGGAGCTGGTATCGCCGCCTGAGAGCTTGATGTAGAGCGTAAGGCGAGGTGAGGAAGAGGAAGATCTCTGGTCCCTCCTCCTGCTGCGTCTTGGGAGGGAAGCCTGGCTTTGTTAATGGGTGCTGTGTCTTCCCAATGCATCTGCCCTACTGCCATCCCCACGATGGCTGTCTGCTTCACATAGGGTGACCAGATGTCCCGATTTTATAGGGACAGTCCCTATTTTTGGCTCTTTTTCTTATATAGGCTCCTATTACCCCCCACCCTGTCCAGATTTTTCACACTTGCTGTCTGGTCACCCTGGCTCCACACTGCAAATGCCTCTTGGAGTAGAAACTCTCCTTCAGGTCAGAGGCGAGATGTGGGGGGAGGCATGCCCCCCCCCAATTTCTGCCAGGGTCGGACTTGGGCTGAGCATAGCTGAAGGGGATGTGCCTGGGAAAGGCACCTAGCACTCCCGCTGAGCCCGCTAGGAGGCGCCCAGAGCAAGGAAGAGAGCCAGGCATGGCAGCGCAGCTCTGCCAAAGGGGGCATAGAATCGAATATTAGAGTTGGAAGGGACCTCAAGAGGTCATCTAGTCCAACCCCCTGCTCAAAGCAGGACCAATCCCCAACTAAATCATCCCAGCCAGGGCTTTGTCAAGCCGGGCCTTAAAAACCTCCAAGGAAGGAGACTCCACCACCTCCCTAGGTAACCCATTCCAGTGCTTCACCACCCTCCTAGTGAAATAGTGTTTCCTAATATCCAACCTGGACCTCCCCCACTGCAACTTGAGACCATTGCTCCTTGTTCTATCATCTGCCCCCACTGAGAACAGCCGAGCTGGGGAAGCCCTCTGAGTCCTGTCCTTTCCTCGCCCACAGCCACAGTTCCCTGCTCAGCAGTAGGTATCCGGAGCCCGCTCCAGTCCGCGCTGCACCTGCAGCGGGCAGGCACTGGGAGATCTATGTGGGGAGGAGCTGGGAGGGGGGTGGGGGCAAGGAAGTGCTGGCTTGGAGCAGGTGTGGGAGGCACAGGGGGGAGTGGGAAAGGGGCCAGAGGCAACACGTGGGGTGGTCACATGCCCCCCAACCTTTAAATTGTCCCCCCCCATCAAGAGTGACAGGTCATTTCTGCTTCTTCTCACACCTCAGCTGGTCGGGAACAGCAGTGGGTCGGTCAGGAAGGTCAGTTAAGCACCCACAAGCTCAGATGCTTTCCAAGTCTCCGGGTTTGGAATATTGTGCAATTAAGGATTCACATGAGTGCGAGCGAGCACCGGTGTGATCCCACATAAGTCGGTTGGTCAGTCTATTGTCATACTCTCTAGCTATCATATTTATAAGGTGCCTGAGCACTGTCCGATCCCGGTGGCATCCAGGGGAAATAAAGAGGTGTGCGTGGGAAATGATCTGACCACGTCGAGGCTTGAAGAAAGGCCTGTTTCAGGTCTGGCTGTGAAGGCCCAGGGGTCGGTAGTTATCTGCCCAGCCCTGGTCCAGAACCAGCTTTAGATCATAATGCTCGCCATTTCCGTGAAATCGCGTAAAGGACCGTTCCCAAGGCCCTGCTGCGTGACCCTTGTAAACCCTTCTAACCCGGGCTCAAGTCCCCAAGACCAAGAGCCTGAGGCCTTTCCCACACTGGCTGTTTGCTCCAACGAAGCCACTGGGGTAGCTGTGCAGGTGCAGATCGAGGCTGAGCTGTGTGCCCCAATGGTGGAACTGGGGCAGCCCCGAGGGTAGACATCATCTCTGCTGCAGGAGTGCTGGGCTGGCACCTGTCTGACACCACAGTAGGGTTCTTACTCTTCAGGGTGAGCCCCAGGGAACGCGTCCTGCCTGGAAGCGAGTCCTGGTCTCCCCTCAGCAGGTGGGGGGTCTCCTGGGATCAGGGTTAGGACCCCCTGGGGGAGCAGAATGGGGATGACAAAGAGTGGCTGGGCCTGACTCGTTTGGTGCTTCCCTGTCCTGGAGCCAGGGTATGGGTCCCGGCTGACACAACCAGGATTGAACTGGGACCTCCAGAGCGAAAAGCATGAGCTGCTGAAGCTCTGTGAGTGGGGCTGTAGCAGACTCCTGGCCTCTGCAGACTGGGCACAGAGTGGACCTAGTACACGTGTGCCAGTGGGTTACGCCAGCACCTGGCATGCAGCCTACAGCTGGGCTGCCCAGGGAACGTTTGGCGCAGAATGTTATGCGCCCACATCCATACTCACTGCCCCCCACTCTTCCCCTCCTCTTTATTTCCTCCCCTCTCCACCCCTCCATCCTGGCCTCAGATTTCTCCCCAGTCCCTTTACTCTCTGTTCTTTCGGTTGATTTCCCAGGGTGTTTGAATTGCAGCAAAGTGGTGGAACTGACGGCGCGTCTCAACAGCCTGGAAGCCAAGGTCAGTGTCTACGTGGCAGGGGTTGGAGGTGGGATGTGGGTAAAGGATCAGGGAGCACAGGGTATGGTATGAGAACCAGCGTGACCTTCTTGCCTCAGAACTTTGCATCTCACGGATGTTGGGATCAAGGGTGAGTCTGACATTTACCCCTGGATCCCAGTGAAATCTCATGGAAATGTAGAAAGAGGTCGGCTAGTCCAACCCCCGATATTCTGTGTCACACTTGGAGCAGGGCTGCCAGCTTGTTCATTTTAAACAATTGTCTTTCTTTTTTCATCAACATTTTGTGCTGTCATTTCTTTAAGTATTTTTGTTTATTATTCTTCATTTCCCCCTTCTTTTCTTTTTGCCTTGTTCCTACTGGAGAGGTTCTTCTTTCTTTTTCTGCCCAGAAATTTTACCCTTTGAAATGAAAAGAACTTCAACATTTCAAAATGTTGGGGCAAAATTGCATTTGTTTTGTTTTTAGCCAGCTGTGCCAGCCCCAGGAGCAGACAGCTGTCTCTCTGTGGTACTGACACAACTCCCATTACAGAGAGCACCTCAGTTTATTTATCCTCATGACCTCCAAGGAGGCAGGGCAGCGCTATTATTCCCATTTTTACAGAGAAGCTAAGTGACTTGCCCAAGGTCACACGTGAAGTCTGTGGCAGAGGGGGAATTGTACCTGGGTCGCCTGAGTCCTGGACTTAGCCACTGGACCACCCAGCCTTTCTCCATAGACATGCACCGTATGGAGGAGGAGGACAGTCCCCAACAGATAATCCATTTCCCTCCCACAGGAATTGCAATTCCAAAGCACTCGAGAAGTTGTCTAGGACAAGGCAGAGCACAGCCAGGGTGTGGCATGGCTGTTCAGAGGCTGAGTGCTTTCTGAACCAGGTGGGATTTTAACGGTTGACGTTTCAGGTTGCTGTAAGCATTTAGGGGAGGGACAGATGGTCTTGTGGTTATTAAACCATGGGACACCAAACAGAACTCCTGGGTTCTGTTCACAGCTCTGCCACTCAGGCACATGTGGGCGAGTTACCTGTGCCAATGCTGTGAAGCCCCAGCACCTCAGACACACACAACTAACCGGCCCTGCAGACCAGACTGTAGGGGACTGGCCTGGCAATGGAGGGGATGAGAATGGATCTGGTGCCTGATGATATGAATGGTCTCCAGTTGGGGTGACACCAGGCCATAGGGTGTGTTCCCTAGGAGATGACATTCCGTGGGATGGACTGTCTGAGGGCTCCAGAAGTGTCACTAAGACCAGTTGGCTTGTGGCCCTGAGGAATGTGCTGGTGCGGTTCTGTTGTGATCCTATCACCCATCAGGGCTCAATGTCATAGGGAGGCCAGTGTATTAATGATCTGGAGGATGGTGTGGATTGAACCCTCAGCAAGTTTGCAGATGACACTAAACTGGGAGGAGTGGTAGATACGCTCGAGGGTAGGGATAGATACAGAGGGACCTAGACAAATTAGAGGATTGGGCCAAAAGAAATCTGATGGGGTTCAACAAGGACAAGTGCAGAGTCCTGCACTTAGGACGGAAGAATCCCATGCACCGCTACAGACTAGGAACTGAGTGACTAGGCAGCAGTTCTGTGGAAAAGGAGCTAGGGGTCACAGTGGACGAGAAGCTGGATATGAGTCGACAGTGTGCCCTTGTTGCCAAGAAGGCTAACGGCATATTGCGCTGTATAAGTAGGGCCATTGCCAGCAGATCGAGGGACGTGATCATTCCCCTCTATTCGACATTGGTGAGACTTCATCTGGAGTACTGTGTCCAGTTTTGGGCCCAAGAAGGATGTGGAAAAATTTGAAAGAGTCCAGTGGAGGGCAACAGAAATGATTAGGGGGCTGGAGCACATGACTTATGAGGAGAGGCTGAAGGAACTGGGCTTATTTAGTCTGCAGAAGAGAAGAATGAGGGGGGATTTGATAGCTGCTTTCAACTACCTGAAAGGGGGTTCCAAAGAGGATGGAGCTCGG